ACGGTGGATGATGTTAACTACCTGCCTTCCTTCTAGTTGGCCCGGCATAGCCAGGTGATTAGGGCACTCGGTTCGCAATCGGCGGATCACGGGTTCGAATCCCCGTCACACCAAACATGCTCGCCCTTTCAGCCGTGGGGGCATTATAATGTGACGGTCAATCCCACTATTAGTCGGTAAAAGAGTAGCCCAAGAGTTGGCGGTGGGTGGTGATGACTAGCTGCCTTCCATGTAGTCTTACACTGCTAAATTAGGGACGGCTAGCGCAGATAGCCCTCGTGTAGCTTTGCGCGAAATTCAAAACAAACAAACAAAGTACCTAAAATAATAATTGAAATTTGAAAACATTATTCATGTTTTGTTTAATAAAGACGGTTTTATTAAATGTTATCTTGTAAAGTTTCGATATACCTGGTCTCATCGTCCTTCAATTATTGATACTTAATCAGAACACGCACACAACAAAGGCAGTTTATCCATTTATTTATCATATTGCATACCGATCACACTTTTTAATTTTAATCTAAACTAGCGAAAGTACCCGGCTTCGCTCGGGTTATTAGGTTGATAGTGTGTGTGTATATTCTGAACCCATTTTAGCATAAAAGTATAACACGTAGATAAGTAAGTAATATCCAGGTGCACACCCTCATGGTCTACTTAGTATGAGTGCAAAATTTCAGGTTTCTGGGTTCTTTTTTCTTGAAGTTGTGGCCGACACACACAGACCCACAGACAAGCCCTAATATTATTATAGATTACAAAAAACGTTATTGCAGCATAACCCAACCTATAAATCTTAATATTTCTATTTAATAATTTTTGATCTTTAATACAGGGAAGGAATATGTTGATGTGCTACTGTTTTAAAATGGAATATTGTTTAACTCGCTTATGTCAAATATTTATTTTAAGATGTGTTTTTATTTTTAATCTCGAGGCAGCTTCTGACTGCTGGGGCACCTTAGATGATTCGGTGATTTTCGGGCATATATACCTACCAGCGCTCTTTTCTTCTCCAGATAACCGTCCCTGATTTAGTAGTGAAAAACTAGAAGGATTGTTTGCTTGTTTTTTGAATTTCGCGCAAAGCTACACGGGGGCTATCTGCGGTAGCCGCCCCTAAGCTAGCAGTGTAAAACTAGAGGGAAAGCAGCTAGTCATCACCACTCACCGCCAACTTTTGGGCTACTCTTTTACCAACGAATAGTGGGATTGACCGTCACATTATAATGCCCCCACGGCTGAAAGGGCGAGCATGTTTGGTGGGATAGGGATTCGAACCCGTGACCCGCAGATTGCGAACCGAGTGCCCTAATCACCTGGCTATGCCGGGCCAGAAAAGGGGACAATAACAAAATCATGTTGATTTCATTAATGTCCGTGTTGTTTTATAGATATCGGTTAGCAACTGAAAGTTTTGTTCATTTTTGTGCATGTATGCACATGTGAAACGTTGTATGGCTTGGTAGTGAGGGCGCTCGACACACAATCTACTGGTTGCTAGTTCGGATCCCTATCGTCGAACATGCTCAATCTTTCGGTCGTGGAAGCATGGCAGTCAATTCCACTATTCGTTGGTAAAAAGAGTAGCTTCAAAGTTTACGGTGGATGATGTTAACTACCTGCCTTCCTTCTAGTTAACTATAATGACGTGGTGAGGCTCAAAAATCGTTTTAATATAACATGCTGAACGTCTACAATTTCTCGAAACGTTGTTGGTACCGCCCATAATTGTGTACTAGGCACAACATAGGGATACTTGACTATACTAGTTATATAAATTAGAAATTTAGAAATGCTCTGTTAGATTTTGAATTAGCTTGGATTCACTAATCACATATATACCGTAAAGCCAAATTGATTACAGGAATCCTTTATAGTAAAGTCAAAAGATAGCTTTAACCAAAGCAATGTTTAACAGGAATTTCAGTAAGCAGAAGAAAAAATTGGCTGGTTGGTTATCTATTTTAAAGAAAGCCACATTGGGCTATCTGCTATGTCTATCGCATGTGTATTTTAGTGTTCTAAGTTCGTAAACTTACCGCTGTCCCACCTGGGGACAGGAGAAATTGAAGAGTGCATTCGAAAAGTTAGTCAGTGATTATTCTGGCTAAAAAGAAATTAAAAGCTTGAAACAGGGAATGTATGTGTGTAAACGTTTAAAAATGAACAGAGATAGAAAAAAATGTCTTTGTTTTACCTGAGGATTGAGAAAGAAGTAGACGATCGGATTGTATACGACACAACTTTTAGCAAAGATGGCGGGACTAACAGCAGACAATGGACCAATTAATTGAGAGTATCCTAACGCCACAATCAACGAGACAACAGCGTATGGTGTCCAAGCTGTTAGAGCACAGGTAACCATGGCAGCAACCATTAAAGTCAAGCGCTGTTGAGCCTTGACGGCGTGGCTTCTTTTATCCGTCATTTTTGGAACCTGGTTCGTGTAAAAATACACATATATATATATATATTATTTATTTTCAAACACACATATGAATAGATATATAATATGAATGGTATGTAACGTTACTTTATTGAATATATTTTAATTAAACATTTTAATCTTAATGTCACACATTTTACACCTCATTCTGTTGACACACATTTTACATCTGACCTTGTTATCAAACATATATTATTTAATTTTATTTTCACATATTTTACATACGATTTGTAAGCAAACATTTGTTTGTTTGCAATTAAACACAAAGTTACACAATGGGCTATCTATGCTCTGCCCACCACGTGTATCGAAACCCGGATTCTAGCGTTCTAAGTCCGCAGACATACCACTGTGCCACTGGAGGGGGGGGGGCATCAAACATTTATTATTTGATATTGTTTTCGCACATTTTACACCTGATCTTGATATCATATATTTTACGTCTGATCTAGTTTTCACACATTTTACAACTAATCACGTTATCATACATTTTGCATCTCACGTTGTGCTTATACACCCTGTATCTCGAGTTACTATCACACACTTTAGATTTTTTTATCCTTCCCTTCCAATGCATTCTGCATAAGATGTTTTCGTTACTTATTTAACACATTTCAGTTTGACAATTAAACATTTTCTATCTGTCAGTGGTGTCACATCGTTATTATCAAAACTAATATGATAGTTAAGTAGGAACGAGCTTATAATTAAAAGAAAAATGTAAACGTCGAATTTTGATAATCTAATTCTTGAATGTCGGCTCATGCTTCACTCTCACTTCCAAACTACTTTATGACGTAATCAACAACGTTATTTTGAAGTAAGTTGTGTAAAAGAAAGGACAAAACATTGTATTTCTGGATTGTGTGCTGACCACCAGGAGCCTCCATAGCTTGTTACCATTTTTTGTTTATATTTCTATGAATGAATAAACCCACATGTAGAAACTATAACGTTTCCACGGTTGAAAGGGCGAGATTGTTCGGTGACGGGGTTCGATCCCGCGACCTGCTTATTTTGAGTTAGTGCCCTAACCAGCAGATCATGCCAGACATAAAAACAAACAAACAAACAAAAACATGTCACAACTTTTGTATGTTTGTCAAAATCCTTTTTCGCCTTGTGATATAAACATTTTAATGTGCCTAAACGACCATGGAATCAATCGGTACGAACCGAGCATCTTTTGTTTTGCGTCGTTGCTTGAAACTTAGAAATGCTTTCACCATAAAACATTTTAATGTGCCTAAACGACCATGGAATCAATCGGTACGAACCGAGCATCTTTTGTTTTGCGTCGTTGCTTGAAACTTAGAAATGCTTTCACAGACTATACAGATAAAAATTGTGAAATCCAGATCAAAATAGAAGCCTACATTAACTTATTAAAAATTCATCGTATTTTTAAAATTATAACATGAAGTAGAAGTAAATACGATTAAAAAACAGAATTAGAACTAGCTAAAACATCCTTGATGGTTCTATTCTACAGCTATCCTTCACCATCAGAAAACTAATGGTTAGAAGAAAAGTTTTCTATAACGGATACATCACACAAGAACAAGAATGTGACTAACATTTCCTGGCAGTATCAGTAGGATTCGTTAGTATTCGACTCTACTCCTAAATTAAGCTCCAGAACGTCACATAGAAAACCTGCTTTCAAAAATACGAAGCTATTTCTTTGAGAAGCATATATTGTTTTCTGGTTTCGTGGAGCTACATTTCCAATTATCTGATGTATCCATGCATGGTCTCCACTTTCTTCCGCCTTCACACATGATTGTTTCTTTTCGGATATTCGCGCGAAGCTACTCAAGGGCTATCTTCGCTAGCTATCCACAGTTTTCAACTTATAGACTAAAGGTCAATAAATGTTATGTAAGACACACTTCAAAAGTCACTGGTTTCAAAATGTATACCATTGCATTCTTATTACAGGTAAATACATCAAAATGTGTCGACGTTCTAGGAGCGTAACAACCTTCTTATTCATATACGTCACGATCTTTTCGCCATCACGAATACCATAATGATAACGATATCGTGTAGTATAAAAGTGAAACTAAGATGTATTTTTTTATTCACAGTTAATTAAAATTTTCATAATTAAATGAATGAGAATGAGTGTAATTATTGAACTTTTATTATTCTACTGTCTTTTTTGTTTAAACATTTTTGTTTTTGTTTTTTACACTTCGTTTTACAGAACGTTTTTGTATCAGCTCCAACTGCTTGGGCCTCTTCTGGCTATGGTAAGATTCATAGGCTGGGGGATATGTAACGCACGCATTGTTCCACGATTCTGTACCAGAGACACTGTAGTTTCTCGAAACCTCAAGGTACTGCTCCATGATTCCGTACCAGAGACAATGTAATTTCTCGGAACATCGAGGCACTGCTCCATGATTCTGTAGTTTCTCGAGACGCTGCTCTGTACCAGATAGTTATAATGTGTAGAGACGTTTGTCAATAACTGTGTACCAAGCATACCGTAGTTTCTCAAAACCTCTCGACATTAACCCATAATTGTCTATCAGATACGCATTAGTTTTTCGAGACGTTGCTCCGTAATAGACAATTAGTAGTCTCTTGAGACGTTGGTCAATAACTGTGTACCTGATACAACGTACAGAGGGTTTAGTATATTATGTTAAAACGGTTTAGGATATGTAAATGTCGTGGAAGAACGATATGTACCACAACTACGTTTTGACATTGTTTGCCGTTGCGTGAGTAGAGTGATGGCGTTAAAATGAATAGCTTATGGGAATGGTATGTAACAGCCCCTTCCGAAGCAAAATATTCATATACTCAGATAATAAAGATGGATTTAGGTCATGAATTTAAAATGTCAAAGACAGGGATATCCATTTTAGTTAATGTCATTAGAAAACTAGGGAATATGGATCAACTTGGAGCTCCAAGACATCCAAAAAGAGATCTGCAACAAGCCGTATTCCAGCCATGATAAGCAAAGTGCGATTCTTGTAACAGCTGAGAATCCACGATTACAAAGATCAGTGGCAAAAGCAGCCCACATGTCCCATGTAACAATATGCAACATATTCAAGGACCTTTATTTGGAAACGAGAGACACAAGTTGCTTCTATAATATCCATTCAACCATCACATACCCCATGCAGCTGGAGAATGAAAAGGGTATTTATACTGTTTCATACCAGTCAAATCAATGGACGCAACGTCTATGGATTTCTGTGTGAATGTGCTGATGAAATGCGGCAGGGAAACTTGCGTCCTTATGTGCACTAGATTGATTATGGAAACCCTCTGGAATGAGTGGTGTGCTTTGGACATGAAAGTGTTACGACAGAGCCTTTCGCATTCGCAGAAAGTGATGCATTGCATTTGGTGGGACATCAAAGGAGTAATTCATGTCGAACTCCTCACTCTACAGCGAACTGTCAATGCAGATATCTATAGTCAGCAACTGGAACGTTTAAATCAAACCCTTCATCAGAAACGCCCTTCACTCGTCAATCGAAAAGGTTTCTTCTCCACGACAATGCACGTCCACATGTGGCACGTTTGACGCAACAAAAGATTATGGAGTTGGATTGGGAAGTTCTCCCCCACCCACCATATTCTCCAGATATGACACCATCAGTTTACCATCTTTTTCGTTCGCTGCAACACCATCTTAATAGGAAAACGTATGCAAATGTGGAAGATGTTAAAGAGAACATCGATATGTTTTTGCTTCAAAGCCAAGTGATCTCTTTAATCAGGGCATTAACAACCTGATTGTAATACAGAAAAATATGATGGATAAGAATGGAGACTATTTAATTTAATAAATGTTTTGTTTTGATATATATATATATATATGTTGTTCGGGTTTTTTCATCTAGAAAAGCGACATTAATTTCTTTTTTGCGACCTAATACTAATATTTTCTTCCAAAAGTGTCGTTTTTTTCGTTAATTTCGTTTGATTTTTGTACATCGTTCGGTATATGTATTTCAATTTTAAGGCTTCTTTTATCTTCTAGTGCTTACTAAAAGCGACATGTTTTCTAATGTGTTATATCTATATTATTTTCCTATGACTTCTAAGTTTCATTTATTACCCTACCCTTACTATTTTGTGAGAGTATATGTTTTAGAACTTGCTACTGTATTACTTGAAAAACAATGTACTAAACCTTGATAGTATATGTTGATGCTAACACAGTCGATACTAATACTGAATACAGTTGAGAGAAACATTTATAAAGTGTATTATGGCTTTTTGAAAACTGTTAGAAAGACTCGGAGCCTGTAAAAACGTGTCATAATCACGTGAAAATAATATTACTATTAACAGTGTATTCGCTATGTAAAGAACCATTAATGATGCACTATTTAAATAATGCTTAAGCTTGAATTATATATATAAGGTAAATTCTAACAATCTCAAACTAAGATATGAAAAAGACAACCCTGTTTAAATTGATATTTAAGAGTATTTTACATATATTTAATAAACGACGAGTATTACACGAGCTACAAGTCAACTTCATATCTTGGCATTTGTCTTCTTGTATGTTAAGCACTTACATTAATAAGAGCATGACAAAAGGTACTTCCTCATATTTACACACTTCTACACTTTGAAGCGTATGTAAGTATTGTTTAGTGTCCATCTACATTGCAACTTCCATTCAGTTTTACTCCTTTAAAACAGTTCTCTTTCGAATATCTAGAACATAAGAAAGCCTAACGATGTAAACAGTACAACGAACAGCAAAGGGAGGATGGAGTTCAGGTCACACTACACTATTATCTTCCTCCTCAAGAAAACTCTGTGTTCGGTCTGAGCGTAGCGGCAACAGGTTGTTAGTAACTGGGCTTCTTCTAGTGACGTCTGTGTAGTTATTAGTTGCTATTAAACTGATATCTTGTTGAAGAGCAGATTGTAGATCAGGTCGGTTACGCCGAAATGTTTCCATGATCGCTTCTTGTATCTGTAACATAAAACATAGAATAAAA